ATGAAAAGGTTCCAAGGAGCAGTATGTGTGAATGGAAAAGGAGTATACTTTCCACTATGAAACTCAGCCTAGTAGCAGAATAAAGAACAGGGATGAACAATTCAGAGAAATGGATTCCCACTGTGTTTTGGCTGGACTTTTTCCAAAGGTATGATATTTTACCTTTTGGTGCCCAAGAACATTATTTCCTGATAGGCATTTTCAAGAGGCCATTCAAATGTTTTCAGTGACATCCGGGAGTAAATTTTCCCTTAGAAATATTATTTTAAAATACTTTCACTGAAGAAAGCATTATTCAGTACAGTTAATACAGGCTAGAAAATGGTATCCCAGACCCCTTCCCCAAATGTTAATGGCAGAGGCTCAAGTCTCCATTCAGTAGGCCCCAGAGCAGGGACACAGAAACCACTCATTTGTCAATCTTGGACCCTAACGTTATAGCTCCCTACCTAGGAGCATAAGCCCCCGAGGAAACTGCAAAGTAACTGAAAGGCTCGATATGGCCCCCAAATACTGTTTCCTAAATCGAATCAACTCCTGCCAAATATAGCTCGATAAGTTGGATTCTACAGCCACATTCGTTGAAATCCTGGCTCTGCCATGTACAGTGATCCTAGGTAAGGTGTTCAATTCCCCCAAGCCTCAGATTCCTCATCTATAAAATGGGAAGAATTATATCCACTTTGTGGCATTGCCATGAAGATCAAATGTGACAATTAAAGCAAACTATGTGATGAATTTCAGCTTCTATAATATTATTACTATCCTGTTGCTTGTGAGAGATTATAAAAATATACAGGGTAAATATGCAAGGCTTTCTTCCTGTCCACCATTAATTATGATGGAAAGGAGGGAAGAGCTAGTGAGAAAAATGTTAAGACAGAGTAGACCTAATTAAAGAACCCTCAGCAGGACTACTCCCTGCTCCTTATCACTGATCATGATAATCCTTAACAATAACACAGGGTCTCACAAGGAAAAGTGCAGACAGACAGCAAGAGCCTTCCTCAGCTGGGAATCTTCCTCCTTTTAGATTAATTAGATTTCTGACTAATTGGAGGCTGAAAGAAAACACCACTGATTGCACTCATACCAGCCACCCATTCCTATAAAACTTATTTTAACCCTACAGCACTGTCTTTCTTAAAAGAGGAACGACCCTCAAGTCCCCGAATGCCTCCATCAGCAATGGCCACCGAGTCAGGTATAGACAATTGTGAAAGTCCGCACCAGAAAAGCCTTTTACTCCTAATTTCACAGCCATGGAAAAGAGGAACCTTTTCCACCTTTTTAGGACACAGTGTTTGGATATTTACGCTTTATGGTTGGGCATTAGTTCACCGTGACCACCATAGCCAGGAAAATTTTTTGTCTTGAATGCTGTAGCATCACAACTCCAAAGTGAGTATCTTAGGGTAAATCGTGCTAAAATGAGCATTCAGAGAAACTCAGAGGAATGACTAATTTTAGAAATTAAATTCTCTCTTCTCCACTGGATCCTAACTCATATAATTCTTATCACTGGACTCTGCAAACATTAAAAATGAAAATCTCCTTTTTTCCCCAGGTCTGCTTTATAATTTCAAGAACCGGCTTAGCATGATGTGAGCCTCCACGCCAGTGACACCATGGGCCGGGTTTTGCTACAATCCTCTAAAGCACCGAGAATTCGGTCTTTAGCGATTTGGCAATATCCAGAGAGGAAGGGGAAACATCTGAAGTTATTTTTATTTTTGCAAGTCTTCTGGCTGCACAGGGTGAATGCTAGGGTGGGTCAAGTATTGTCTGGAGCCCTTCAGGGTCTTTTTTTTTTTTTTCATGGCCTCATTTCCGTCTTCCTGTTGCTAGGAAGGAGAGTTAAGCATGAGAAACTCGTGTTTACAATACTGGACCATCCTGTCCAGCACAAGGCCCTCTTCAAAAAAATTACAACTCACTTCACCCACTGTACTTGGGAGGTCTCCATTCTTCTGGACCAAATCACCCTTCCCCGAATATTTTCAAATTGCATATTTACCTGCCTAAGTCATAGAAATACCACTCTCATTTGAACATTGCATCATGGCTTAAAATCTCCATGGGGACACCAAGGGAAACTCAAGTACTTATTTTTGTATTTGTAACCACCTCTTGGAATCCCAAGCCTCTGATTGGAAGGCATCTGATTGGGGCCTCCTATTTCCCCTTTAAGCCCCATACTCGTTCTACAAATAAGAGTTTAAGTACTATATACATTTTTTCTCACTTCACAGTAATAACCTGTTTAATCATAACATGTCTATTAATCAGGGATATTATCCAGAACCACCCAAACTACCCTTTTTCATGTTAAAACGCCCTTAAACTTTGCTTGATCTTTGCTCTTTGAATTACAGTGTAAAACAACAACAAAATAATAAACAAACAAAAAAAGGCATTAGCTTAAAGGGCAACTGGCCTCTCACCTTCCCTCTAAAACTATAGGAAAATCCTTAATTGGTCCAGTGTATTAAAACATCACTGCCTTCAATTAGCCATAATGAATTGCTTAGCTATTCAACTTTTTCACTCTTGGAAGGAGTAAGTGGTGTTTCTCATAAGATCTACGATTTAAAAGTTAAGACACACGGAAGTCACCAAAACCACTTTTCTTACCCACTCTAGGGAAAGATTTAAGTTGGAAGCTACATATTCTGAATCTGTGGAGTCAGGAAACCAAGTCAGTGCCCCTTCATGAACTTCCAGCCAGTTCACTGCAAGGTATCACTCAGCTTGAATTAAAATAAAATCCATTTTTGTCAAAAGCAAACTTTTAAAAACAGCTGGGAGAGAAAGTCAGTCTGCTGTGCTTCATTTTAAACTCTGAACAGTAGTGCTAATGAAAAAAATATGCACCCAGGCTTGGGCCACACCGTAAATCAGACACGCCACAATAAAAGTAAATACGCACAATCGCCAACATTTTCTCAGAAAACGTCTCGAAATAACTTCTGAACGCACATCTGCTAACTATTTGACACTCATTCCCCAGGACTTCGGTTCTTCTCCTCGGTGGGCTGTTGACTTACAGGGCACCCCTCTGACCATCTGCTGCAGTGTGCAAGCCAAGATGGCACTGGGTGCCTCCATTAATTCCACACTTATGGTCTGCAAATTATCTCTGCGGAGGACCAGCCTGCAGTCCAGATGGATGCTGAATTAGTCAACCTCTTGGAGCTGCTGATAGATTTACATTCAGAATTCTGCTGGGCTATTATTTTCCCTCATCCCTTCAGCAAACGGAGTTCTGAAAAAAATGTAATTTGAGACAGTATTCTGCTTTCTCTAGAGCTGTGATTTTTTTCTCTCCAAATGCGTCATATATGCCACCCTCATGAATCTTTCTGTAGCGGTTGGCTGTGCCTAGGCTGCATTTCTCACCTCACCAACAGTGGCTGAAACAGCCTCTGAATCCTGAGAACGCACCCATTTGCTAACCACGTTGGGTGTAAAAAGACTCATTCAAAGCTAGCGTGGGGCAAGGTTTTCTTCTCCACAGTGGAGATTAATGACTATATGCAGGAGTTTCGTTCTACACTAATTAGCATAAATCGGGTATTTGTTAAACATCAGTACCAGACACTGTGCTAAGCACTCGTATTAGCTCCTTTGATCCTCACAACCTCCTCGCGCGGTAAATAGTAGTTATTATCCCCATGCTGCAGATGAAGGAGGTACAGAGAGGTCGTGTCACTGCCCAGATTGGCCCAGCTAGCAGGCTGCAGACCCAGGATTCCGACGCCGCCGGCCTCACCCCTGGTCCACTCTAAGCCCCCTCGCAATAGGGGCTGTGCCCTGGAAAGACGCGCGGAGCCTCCGTAAATTACACGTGGCAGGGTCCGCTTGCTGCGGCCAGGGGTGTAACTCCTTCCGAAGGATCAAAGGCTCGCCCTGTGACGTTGGAGGTGGGGATAGGGGCACAGAGTGGGGCAGAGTTCCAAAAGGCCGTCGCCTCACTACGAAAAAAGTCGGGTCGGGGGCATGCTTCCTTCCTTCCGCCGAGCCAGGGACTCGCTCCGCGCGGGCGCCTCCTCTCGAGCCAAGGGCGTGGGCATATCCACCGGGCATTTTAGGAAACCCGACTCAACTCCCCAGCACGTGAAGGAACACTGCAGCCTTTCTACCAGGGGCCCCTCATATGCAAGCCATGGGCTTGCTAAATAGCCTCAATACTCTCCAGGGGCCGGCAGCCACCAAACCAAGACTTTCCTGGCTAGGTCTGAGTTATTTTCCAGTGTTTAAAACACTTGAACAAAAACGGTTTGAAATTAAAGCAATTTTTTGGTGAATTTACCTTCAGTAGTTTAAAAAAAAAAATTTCCAAGGGCCACGACGGTCTTAACGTCCCTAAATAATAAACTCTCAGGGAATCAAAGCTCATTTTGGACATGTACGGAGAAGGACAGCAAGTACCCAGAGCGGAACGGTGTCCGAAGGAAAGATAGTAAAAAGGCGGTCGCGCCGCGCCCCTGTAAACCAGAGGCTATCGCCTGGGATTCAGAATAAGAATAGCAGGGCCGCCAGCGCAGCTGGGCTGGAAGACCCCTGGCCCTGCGCCCCCAGCTCGCCCTTGTGCCCGCTGCCCGGCCCTGCGCCCCGCGCCTGGCCCTGCGCCCCCAGCCCGATCGGGAAATTAACGTGGGCTTCAACTTCATCAGTCGCGATCGCTCCCCAGCCCTCAGCCCTACCAGGAGTCCACCGGGCGCGCCAGCCCGCGGCCCCCAAGCAATGAGTAGCCAGGGATCATTATCCGAGATTAAGACCTCCCTCCCCAAATTATGACCCTTGTTTTCCCCACACTCCACCTCCTCCACTCCAAGAAACTCGGGCGACTCGGTCCCGAGCCTCCTCGGAAAGGGTTTCAAAAGCACAGAAAGTCAGGCATCGACTTGACAAGGCGGGCTGACATTTCCTCCGTGGCGAGTCCCCTCTGCAGCTGGCTCCCGCGGCTGGCCCGACGGCAAGGCACAAGTCTAGCTTACGTGTTAGGATCATGGTGTCCGGCTTCTCTCTGCACATCAAATGCGGCGGGGGGCGGCAGGCGCGCAGTGGGGAAGTCGGGGCAGCCAGAGGCAGCTCGGCTTCTGCGCCCGGACCCACGGCGGCACCCGAGACGCGCGCCCCGGCGGTTCTCAGCGCATCCTGGCTCGCCGCTCCGTCCCTTCGCCAGGGCCCCAGAAAGAACGCAGGGTTTTCCAGAGGTAGAAAAGGGAGAGCGCTCAGGGAGACGGGCAAGAAGCCCGGGAGCAGCTGCTCCTGCTGCGGGGACATTCGGCCATGGCCAGGATAGGAGGGATGCGCCCTCGCACGGGCGGCTGGAGCGCACTGCCTCCCAGGCACCCTGCCGGCCGCGCCCTCCCGCAGCGCCCGCCTCTAACAGGAGGGACGAGGCAAGGCAGCATCGCCTCCTCCCCGCCGCCTGGGTTGCCCGCCACAGCCTCCGGCCGTCCTCAGGCCCCGCCCCGCCCCGTGCCCAGGCCCCGCCCCTCCCCTCCTCCCCGCGGGTAGGCTTCCCCGCCTGCGGCAGCCTCTCGCCGTGCTCTGGCCCCGCCCCTCCAGGCCCCGCCCCTCCAGGCCCCGCCCCCGCCTCCTCCGCCCGGGGCTGGAATGTTTTGCCCTGGCCTCCACGTCTGCAGAGGGAAGCGCCTAAAAGTCTCCAACCTTTGGCCTCGGGGGCAAAGGCAAAGGCTGTGGCCAGCAGGCTCTACTCGCCGGGGAGGTCTCGGCTGCACGCTGGGACACAGTGCACTTTCCCTCTTTTTCTTGGTAGCTTTACACGTGGTTTTTTTTCACCTCTGTGATTCTGCCTCTCATCCTGGTGGGAACCGCGTAAATTCGCGGGAAGAGAGGGGAAGCGGGGAGGTAGGGATGAACAGTCTTTCTTGATCTGTAAAATGGGGGAGAAGAGTACCTGTCCCTTGGACATTCATTATTCATGCTAAAGCCCACAGGGGTACAGAACGAATGTCAGTAATTCACACAGCTGTAGAGAAAGACTGATTTTTACTCAGCAAGTGTTGAGTCTACTGTTTGCACAATCACAGCCAGTTTTTTTCACACCGTGGCCCTTGAGCCACAAACTAATACACCTCCTGGAACTGTGATGGGCCCACTCCAGCCTGCAGATTTAGAATCTCTGATGGCAAGAATCTGCATTTTTACAAGCCCTCAGGTGATTCTGATGCACTGTTTGAGGGCCCCTGAACTAAGGAAGCCTCATTTTTAAACATCACAATTGAATACCCTCTGTAAGATTTTTAAAAATCTAGACTGGGGTTCCATGAAACTTTGCTTTGGGGCTAATTGATGCTTTCTATTTCCTCTGGGCAAAGAAAACTACTAACCTAAACCCGTTCATTCAACAAACACAAGGAGAGCATTTACTGTGTGCCAAACACTGTTCTAGGCCGTGACGATGTGGCAGTGAGCGAAAAAGACAAATGTCCCTTCCTTCCTGGAGTTTCCTTCCTAGTGGAGAGCATGCACGACAAACAAAATAAATAAGTGAAATATATATAGTGTTTTAGATGGAGAGATATATAAAGCAGGGGAAGGGATAGGAGAGCTGGAGGCAGAGTCTGTATTTAAATAAGGTTAAATGCAAATTGGAGAAATTAGTCTCTGGTAATTATAGTCTAAAATGTATTGATTTCATAGCCATGTCTTAGCTTACATACACAAGACTCTTTTTCACCCTAGTTTTTTTTTTTTTTTCCCCAAAAAAAGCTAACTTCACCACTGGCTCCCTAATTTACCCAAACCAGAATTCATCTTGGCAGAGTGGCATCTCAGGAGGGCATGGGCTCCTCTATTCAGACATTTCCAGGGCTTTCTCCTACTTATAACTGCCTGGGACACAAGGGTGAGCAAGGGCAGGCCCGCCTCTGCCTGCTCAGAGTTCACAGTCTCTGGAGAAGCAACAAGGGGCTTATGAAAAAGAGGTGCTGGGAGGGCCAGGAAGAGGGGACCTGACCTTGCCCAAGACGACAAGAAGAGGGAGCTGCCCTCTGAAGTCTGGATGCTAGGGGAACTGTCAGACCGGCCACAACTGTCAGATTGTCAGCAAGGGGGAGTGCGCTTCAAGGGGAGGCTGGAAACGTAAGGGCAAGAACTTTCCATTCCCTGTATGACTGTGTTAAGGACTGTTTTATCCTCAACAGTGATAAAGTGAGAAGCCATTTTAATGGATGAAGGTATCCCATTTTGCATTTTGAAAAGATCACCCAGGCTGCAGTGTGCCCTTCAAACTTAGAAAATAGGAATACACCTCCTAAACATACTAATTTCCCTCATTTATTCAAAATCCAAACCTTAAAAATATAGATATTCTAAGCATCTCCTCCAAAGTGTATCAATTCTCATATAAGTTCTTAATGTTTATTGGTAGCCGGATGAAGTTGTAGTTTAATTTAATTAGGTTTCTAGGAGTCTGTGCAATCCTGATATACCCACCCCACTAAGTATTCATCTTTCCAGAATAAAGCATGCTTATCTTTTTGTCTCTTCTTGTTCAAGCCCATTCCTTTCTCTTTGATTGTTGATGTTGTCTTCTCTGGATCTTCTCTAATTTCATTACATCTCTCAGGAGGTTTGTGTTATGTGGCTTGCTTATTATCTAATAATACTAATAACTCTAAAAACATTTTCCTTGGTGATGCATTGGTTTGTATTTGGCCTTCACTGAATCTTATCATCTTCCATTCTTTGGTTTATTGACACAGCCTGTGTCCTGGGCCAGACCTCAATTTTTATAGTTTTAATTCTTACTCCTGTTAGAAATGGACATGCTACATTTTGAAGGCTGCTACACTTGTAGAATTGTGGTTGAAAGGAAGACTTTTGGAGCAGGCCACTTCCTAGCTATATGATGAACACATTATTTAGGCTCTCAAACTTGAGTTTCTTCATCTTCAAAACAGGACGTTGAAATAGTGCATACCTCACGGAGTTTTTAGGGAAGTTAGAATAAGATAATACACATAAGTGCTTAGCACATAAGCCCTCAATAATCTTTGCCATTATTATTATAAGTTACTAAGTAAGCACATCAGACAAAAACATGCAATTTGTAGTTGAATAATTATCCAGGAGAAGATCAAAACAAAACAAGACCTTGACGTGAACCTTTGTGAATCTGAGGAGCCTTGACAAACTGGGGAAGGAAGGAGTGGAAAAGTCACTGAGTGTCAAGGAACAGTGGTCTTCACCAGATGAAAGAGGTCCCCAGGACAGCTCAGAGTCCTTTCTCTCTCTTAACCTCCAACTCGTCACCCAAGGTTTCATTTGTCTGTCCTAGGTAGATGGCACTAGACTGGGCTTGTTAGCTGATCTGCATTAAGTGAGATTTGGGTATTGAAATATTGGACTCTAAGAGGCAGGGATTAATGTAGCCGATTTCCCCACCAGCCGTCTATAAGGTCCTCCAAAAGCCCATCAATACATGAGAATAAAAACCCATCACAAATCACACCCAGTTTTTTTGCTACAGTTGTTAGTTATTTGTTCTCAATGGCACATTAGAAAAAAAGGAAAGACTTGACACAAGGACTTGTGATGTTTACCTCCTGCCACGTTCTTCTTGGTTTGGGCATCTACTTCATGGAAGCTCTTCACAGGGCTGTCACAGTACCCTGTCCATTTGAATGCTTTCACATTCAACTGTAGTTTTACCAAGGAAAGAAAAATAACATAGCTCACTCCTAAACTGCATGACAGAAGGTTGAGTGACTAAGAGGGCAACTCCCTGGTTCCTACTGTTTTAATGATTGACATTAGATATCATTGATATTATCCAGGGACATCATTTTGCATTCTTCTACTGTTCTGTGTTAAAAAAAAATAAGAAGCAAAAGTCAAGTATCTACAGGCACTCAAGCAGGTAATGCTGGTGAGTAAGGCGAGCCACAGTGGGAAGGAGAGAACCGGGGAGCCCAGGACCCCATCAAGAGGGCAGCGCCAGTCAGGCTCACTTGATTATTGGCATGTGTTAACACAGCAACCCCATTGTTCTGGATTTAAAGATTTTTCTTTCTTTCTTTCTTTTTTTTTTTTTTTTTGGTGAGGAAGATTGGCCCTGAGCTGACATCTGTGCCAGTCTCTCTCCATTTTGTATGTGGGATGCCGCCACAGCATGTGTTGATGAGTGGTGTAGGTCTGCGCTCCGGATCCAAACCTGCAAACCCCAGGCCGCCAAAGAGGAGCATGCGAACACTGCACCACCAGACCGGCCCCCTAAAGATTTTTCAAGAGCCCCTAGATTTCTATATTTTTATATTAAATCTCCCAATTTTTTGATGCTAGCAACTAATTAAAAAAATCTAAACCTATTCCAAGTAATTTCAACTTTGGGCTTCATTTAGCCCTGGGGCAACTAGTTTAAACCTCTGCTCTAGTGATACGAGCCAAGCAATTTCTTTGGAAATTTCTCTCTCTCCCACAGGAACTAAAGACTCCCGTGCTTGGAAAATGTCGTAATATAATTAGTGTTCAGTGGAGCATTGTGAAATTAGTGTGGCAAATAATTTTTACTTGTAATGTTCAAAGGAAATAGGACAAATCATAGAAGGATTTGAAAATAATTTTTAAACAGTATATTTAATTAAGAGAAATAATTAAATTTGAAATGTAATGGTTGTCCTTAAAACATTCATTTATGTTTAAACTTCAGTGACCCAAGTCTGGCTTCTTCCTCCGCCATCTTCCCTGGTATTTAGCCTTTTCAGTGTTTAAAACCCAAATTCTGGGGGTATAGGATGGGGAAAGAGGAGAAAAAAGAGAGGGCTTAGGCCTCTTAAATAAATAAATTTACCCCCTTTTAATTTTACCTCGAGTAGCTCTCTTGTTCAGTCAGACCTTTTTTGACTTCATCTTTTGAACAATTTAAGTTTAAAATATGCAGAAGGTTAACTTCATCTATCAGAGATATCTATCAGAGGAGTCCCTTGTTCTTGCATAAATGTGATATAAATCTACTTTTTGGATAATCACTTAAGCCCCAAACATGATCCAGTCTGGCATAGTTCTTTTATCATGCAACAAATATTTATCAGACCCTAGAAAATGCAGTATGCTGGTGAAACAAAAATGAACATGAATAAGTAAGTCCTGGGGAAATAACATACAGCATAGTGACTATAGTTAATAATACTATATTGTATATTTGAAAGTTGCTAAGAGAGTAGATCTTGAAAGATCTCACCATGAAAACACAAATGTGTAAAGATATACGTACCCTGTGTTCATCTCGGCATTATTCACAATAGCCAAGACTTGGAAACAACCTAAGTGCCCATCAAGGGACAAATGGATAAAGAAGATGTGGTATATATGCACAATGGAATA